TGCGGAAAAAGCAGTCACATTCCTTGCTCATGTTTCGGTGCATCACCCGTGCGAACTCAAGAAGCAACGTGCAGTAGCGAACAAGCGTCAAGTTTGTGTAGCTAATGAAGGTACCGAATCACAGGTGCTGGTGCACGAGCAAGAGTGTGCGATGAATCGACGTTTGTCCTGACCAAATGCGCTGAACAATACCGCCCATGGAACAAGGGCGGGCATGAAAAGGCTTTGGGACATACAAACAACGGATGTAGTACCTTCCTCGACACGTTCCAAAGCGAATTCGCCAATCCGAGTGAGTGTGAGCCAAGAGATAGGTGCATCAGCAGACCATCAAGCTCATGTGGACATTGCGGGATACCTGACGCTTGTGACCTCCCAACCCCCACCAGCATGACAACCACTCCAAGCCAAGCGGGGGACTGGCCTCTTGCGCTTGCCCAACGGTCCAAAAGGAATCACATCGAGGCGACACGTCTCCGGGCATAAACCCATGAAAATGCCCTGTGCCGTAAGGGGAAGCTTTCGTACGTGAGGGATGAGGTCAACCAAGACGTACCGGTGACTGTAGCTCATTTCTGAGACACGTCAAACCAGGACCACATTCCTTGTCAGGTAAGTTCCAATCCGCGGCAACGCATTCCACCATAGAATAAAGAGTAATAGCCCGTCATAGTACGTTCTCGCATGTTCGAGCCCAAATCTGTTTTGCGAAGGGTTTCATTGAGGGCATCTGATGAGGCCAGAGTCCGCATTCCGTGTGTGCCAGGTTTCGGAGTAGCCTTCGTCCCATTGCATAGTACAAGCTCGCCACTCTCAAAACGAAGTACAGTTGCGCATCATTGTTCCCTGTTCATGGCGGAAATTACTCGGCGAACGTTTGTCATTCGATTGCACTTGCCCAAACCAACACGCGGACAGATCCGGCTGAAATATTTTCAAGTAGCAAACGATGGTCAGTCGCAGATGAAACAAGTCTTCGCCCTGCCCTACCAATCGTTCCACCCGTTGTGTGTTTCCGGGTCAAGCAGAGTGCACTTTCGGTGCTGTCAAGAATTTCGGGAGTCAGGCGGTGTCTGTATCTGTGATTCCCACATCTTCGAGTCACACCTGATGGCGCGTTAGTCATGCTTCATGCAAGGTATGACAGCATGCCTTGACGGTTGCACGTGAGAGATCGCACATCCGAGGGGAGGTCAGAGCCCGGCGTGTGCCGGAACGGAGTGCATGAGCATCGACGAGCCAGAGATGCAGGCATGTCGCCGATTTCTTCCGAAAAAAAGGGAACACAGCAAAACGCCTTGAGATACCGCCGGGGGTGCGAACGATTTCGAAACAATTTCTTTTGTTGATTCAAATACACAACCCCGCTGAAAATTACACGTTCTGGTGCGGCCTTACGTCCCCGATGCGGAAAAAGCAGTCACATTCCTTGCTCATGTTTCGGCGCATCACCCGTGCGAACTCAAGAAACAACGTGAAGTAGCGAACAAACGTCAAGACGGCGTTTGAAAGGGCTGCAGTAATGGGGAAGCGACGGAGCTGGGGGTGTAAAGTTTCTTCGGGGTCTGCAGGGCGTTTGAAAGGGCTGCAGTAATGGGGAAGCGACGGAGCTGGGGGTGTAAAGTTTCTTCGGGATCTGCAGCGCTCTGCGAATGGTTTTCAGCTAGATCGAATGTTTGCTTGGTTGAAAAATTGCAAGTTTAGCGAGGACGACGCCACCGTGCGTTGATGCCTGCGGGACATTGTACTTGCAGTACTCACTGTACTCGCAGATATTACCATCTTTCGTTGGGCCTCATTCTGGACCTCTATCTTTCTTTCCACTATTTATCGGCGTAACTTTGATTTGCCCGGAGGACGAATAATTTCCCCTGGGCAGGTTGGGCAAAGGTGATACATACTTCTGTATTCTCATTCTCGACGTGGTTCCTTTTGAGTTGCGCTCAGTCGGTGGCACCGTTCTTTCTATGCTTTTGTGGTCACTTGCAAAGTACCGTGAAGAAATAGATCCTGGCGCGACACACCCAATTAAACCAGCTATACCATAGTTTGATTCCAACGTCTCGAGCTGGCATTCGGTATTCGGCACATCCTCATGGCGTGAATCACGTTGTGGCAGAGACGCGTTCTCAAGGAGAGCCACTGACGTTTGCTGGCCTCTCAAGATTAACAACCGCGAAGCGACGAGGGGTACACCAGCGGCTGTTCTCCCATTTTGGCGACGTAGCCTCATGAATTTCTGGCGTGTCTGAGCTAAACGTTCAACGCCATCAACCAGGAGAATACGGCTGTCTCCTCGATTCCTCTCAACGTTCCTTCGATAGTCCGCGGGTAAGGGTTGGGGGGGTTGACCCTGTTGCATTTTCCACATCAAGCCCTACATTGTTTCCAAACATGTGGTGGTACACGGAAAAGAGAGATACATGAAAACGAACCCATGTATCACCCCCACAGACCAAGCCTGCACGAATGACAGCGGCCATCCTACCGGCGTAAGGGGTGTCAAATCCAAGTGGCTCTAACAACGTCTAAGATCTGCGACCCATGAGAGGGTGGAGCTGATAGGGTGCCATGCTCAAGCATACCACTACTGCCCTACAGGAGGGAGCAAATATCTCGCAAGGGAAACGCTCCAAGGCCACAATTAGAAATGACACATGACACAGGATGACGCGAACTCCGGATATCGTTGAAAAAAGAGCGCCACGAAAACACAGGGATACCAACTCGTGTCGCTGAGTTCCAAGCCGGAAAATTGCATTAGTCCAGAAATACGCAAGCGTATCAACACGAAATCGCTTCGATACTGCCAAACAGGTGTTGAACTTTCTCAAACATACTACTTTGCATACGAAATGCATGTTCATCTTTTGGATGCTGGGAGCATTGGTTCTCGCCTCTGGTGTGTACTGGGACACCATCTAAACACGTACTCAAAATACAAATGTTCTTCTAATGTGAGCAAAACACCTGGGCACAGAGTATTTCGATCATTCTTCGGGTCCACATGTTGTAAATTCTCTGTGTTGGCAAACGCAGGCTTACACCATATAGCACAGCATCGATTTGCCTTTCGTTTGCATCAAGTTGCACGCTTGCGGAATGGGAGGCAGAACAGACCAGGCCAACAGTTTCAACTGTCGTTACGTTTACAGACATCACTCGAAGAGAAAGACAAAACTGCGAGTAAAGCACAAACCGTGTTCTGGTTTGGTAGAGAAGAACACCCTATAACCTAGTTCAAGAGGTCGGGAAATATCGTGTCAGCATACGAAAGAGGCAAGTCACCAAGTGGGCAACATTCTTCGTCACTGGAACTGAAAACCAACCAGAACATGAACTGCAAAATAAACACAATCAACACCCGCATCACACGAATACCAACGACGAGCCATGCCCGAACATGCATGCCCTGCAACCAATAGAGCACAACGTACCACAGTACGCGGGCCGTTCAAGAAATTGTTCAAGGTAGGCACCAACGACAAGGCTGATTAGGATTTCCTCACTCGTCTTAACGGATGCAATGCACTTTGAGAAGGAGGCGGACAAGTACTAGTCCCGGGCGGCGACCCATTTTCTGTATTGACGGTTCGGTGTGGCGACCCATTTTCTGTTTGAATCCCTGGCGAAGGGTACGAGACACATGCGGCGGGCCTTCCGTCTACGAAGGGCGAACACCCGAGTAGGCAATCATGGACATTTTCGGGCATTGCTCGGAACCACGTCGGTCATTGACAGGCGACCTGGAAAACGTCCTGTCGGAGTAAGGAAGGCAACACTAGCAGCGTCGCTCTCAAAACATATTTCCCAACGGACGTACTAGCGCGACCAGCGGTATCCCTTCGAAGAAAATTGCAACCGCTTTTGTCTTTAACGTGAGAACGCCGCGAGAAATGTTGGCGCGGGGGGGGAAGCCCAAGAAACCTAACCTAGACTTGAGTCCTCCATAAGTGGGAATCTTAGCAACGGGGCTGGTATTGGTAGCACCTTCATCGCTGTGACTCGGCGGGTAAGTCCCAAACCAAAACCCCAAGTACAGACTATCACTGCACGTGAAAACCATTCTCAAACATTCGCGCGAAGCGGACTTGTGTTGGTCATTTTGCTCAAGAGTGTTTCGATTGCCATACGATCGACGATGAACGTGAGTGCTTCATTGCGGAGTCGACGTGAGACATGGAAGCCGCTCTTGTCGGATAATTCGTCATGAACGTTTTTCTGAACATTTCCTCGCGTACTGTTCCCAACTTACGAACTACACACTCGAGCAAGTGTCGGCTGGAGTGAAAAACGCTGCCCAATCCATGCGCATGGCGTAAGGTTTCATGGCAAGTCCAAACTCCTGCTGCAGCCTGCGGGTGCGGAAAACGCAACATGTAATAGGAAACGTGACAAACGCCTCAGGCTCCTCGGAGAAGGGCGAACATTGGCCCAACCTCGCCTTGATCCTCTCGTTGATGCTTTCTACTTTGTTCCGCGTGGCATCCCAGATCATCGCCGTGATCCACGGGAATTCTCAAGAGATGGTAGAGATGTTCAACGGTCGTGCGATTGGATACCCGCGAGACATTATGTACTTCCGTGATGCATGACCTAGAGCGCACCGCTCTGGTGGACACATATGACCAATCCCGTGTGAAGGTAAAGGAACCCATGGCACAATGAGAAAATACAGGGCATCGCATCAAAACGACATCTGGCAAGTCGACAACGGGGGGCACTCAATGAAGGACCAAATACGTCAGCTATACTGCGCCGGAATATAGACGCATGTCCGGCCAATCCAAGCCAACACGTCATCGAATACAATTTTCGGCGCCACCTGGTGCCTTTCTATTTGGTGATCGTCCACGAAATCATACCATACAAACCATATGCGCTTGAATCGGCGTTCATGATTCGGGCCAGAAACCGCCAGGATTGTGCACAAATCATCGAACGAAGCTCACATAAATGACTGCGAAAGATCTAATCTTGCTAGGATACACTGGCGCTACCCTTCGCCGAAATACCCCTTGTTGGAGAAGAGAAAAGCTGCCGCGCTAATGCGTTTCAGTTCGATGTTCTGGACTGCTGCAATACCAAGGGCGGCCTCCCTCGATGGCATGTGTCCTGAACAACGACGGCCATATTTCAACACAGGTAGCCCTCATTCGGTAAGCATCGTGCGATGCTTGCAGCTTGCTTTTGTGCTTGCTTTGGGCCCTCAAAACACAGCGTTTCACCAAAACGAACTTCATGGGAATGAGCAATTCCCGTCCCGTTCACACACCCTTGTCCCCACCGAAGAAAAAAAACTCGACCGCCTGTGGTTGCAACGGCCGACCTCTCCGCAACCTTGCAACGTCTAACACATTTGGCCTGGTCGGACGACAAACCCAATATCGAACACCCACCGGCCTCGAAGATATGCACGCGTGCAGTTTCCAAGAGTATGGGAATTTGTCCCTGACTCAATCACAGAGTCTGAGCAGTGGCCCCACTGCTGTTGTCGATGTTAAACATAGTGTACCCTTTCGCACCTCTCGATTGCGCTCATGTACTTCTTTCGAGTGGTTGGCACAAATCACGGGGCACAGAATGTCCAACTGTAGCATTCTAGTATGTCATTCCACTGGAGGTGTTAGACAACACCGGAATTCGTTTCCTGTCTGTGCATCGTAGCGAGAGCTAATCGACAGAAAATGTTGTTGTTCGTTGAGTGTGAAGACTTTATTACGGCAAGAAAAACCACAGCAGCAGACGTGCCACCAGAGGGGCTCAATCACTGCGACTCAGAGGCTGAGTTGAAAACAACAAAATAGTTGCATCCTCGCCGTCCTACGGTTGTGGGAACAGCTCATCACTAAGCAAATAACCTCTTCTCAGGACATCGAACAAACGATCCAGAATTGAACGTGAGCGGTGCAATCGCCGATTCGATTCCTGGTACATGATCTTTGGTTCCAACGCTCGCTGTTCAATTTCGGAAAAACAAAGAACTTTCTCTCAACCATAACAGGTGACCTTACACAAAATAGTTAGCATGTCACCACTTGTGAGCAGGTGACACAGGTGTTGGTCGGAAGCGAGAACCGTGCAAAGAAGACTTGAGTTTGAAAGAGTGAAACGTTACTTCTGATGCAGCATGGGATTCCAGACAAGGCATCTCTTCACTTGGGACAATGCTTTCAAACACACCAGTCTCCCCGGAGAGGGGCTAGTATTGACCCATCGACGTTATTCACCGATCATCGAAACACAATTCTGGGGTGCGACCACGACAAGGACTCGCTGGGGCACGCGGGAGCTTCGCCTCTGTAGCATCACTCACCGCTCAGTTGGTTGCTCCACAGCCACAGCTCCTGCAGAGCCGTTAGTCCTCCCAGAGCAGAAGGAATCGGTCCTGAAGCACGACGCCCACAGCATGCGACCAAAGACGGACAAGCGCATGACAGGTGAACAAATTATGCAACATGCCACGCGTCTACCCTCATCGCACTGGTGCCCAATACAAACGTGCATGAGAAACATGTTTCCGTTCGAATAGGCGACACGGACAATATCGGCCCATCGCTCGGCTACGCTGCGAAGTCGAGCAACACCAACCTGCCAATCACACGGTAAGCCCTTCGATACCCGTTGGCATCATAGGGACATGAAAGTTGAAACACAGAAACATGCAAGGTGATGTTGGGTCGCGCCGTGCTGCGAGGCTCGTTCATATGGTACGCTGAACCTCGGGTGAGCTGATAATCAAGGGAGTTGGGCTCACATAGGCAGGTGTATTGGTGTAACCATGAACGTATTTCGTCCACGTTGTGAAAGTGGCCACCTTTACCTCCAGGTCACCCTCCTCATCATTTCATGATCGTGAGCTTCGGCCATCCCTCCCAATGCATTTAACAGGCACAAACACTTCAGCCGACGACGAAATCAGCCCGCTTCGATTATCGAACGTCATGCCCGTCACGACACAGGACCTCTTTCGGTCGGCCTTGGCACCCATCCCTACCATGGGCAATAGGAACATGTCACGCCAATGGTGCAAAAATCACGAAGCTCGCTTACGCGTGCTCCCTCTCGGGAGCGACGTCCCAAGCCAACTCCAGCATTTGATTAGTAGACTCTTTCGGGTACTCGGCCTATCACCACCAAACATCTTCTCGTCCTACGCGAGGACCTTGTCGCCACAGCCAGCACCATATCACTTGTCACCGGCCATCNAACTCGAGCATTTGATTCGTAGACTCTTTCGGGTACTCGGCCTATCACCACCAAACATCTTCTCGTCCTACGCGAGGACCTTGTCGCCACAGCCAGCACCATATCACTTGTCACCGGCCATCACGCAGACTACAAGATACCTGGCACTTTTCGTTTTGGACGCTTTCCCCTTCCGGACGTCGGGCGACTTCTCAGACACGTAACAATCCTTTTTCAGCAGAAATAATCCGAGGAACACAGCCGGACGCACACGTTTGAATCACTGAAGAACACACCAACAGTGCGAGGGATTCCCACGCCTGATCCCCCAGTGCAGCAACAGCGTGGCCCGGCGACACTAAGCTGTCTAGTAATCGCTGTAGTCGCTGACTTTACCATCTTTCGTTGCGCCGTATGCTGGACCCGTATCTTTCTATTTATCGGCACAATACACGTTATACCCGGAGGAAGTAGAACGTGCCCGAAGGTGGGGTGGGCAGAGGTGATACTTCTGTATTCTCATTCTCGACGCGGGGCCTTTTGAGTTTCGCTCAGCCCCATCGCACCGTTCTTTGAATCTTTCAGTGGTACCTTGAAAAGCACCGTGCAGAAATAGACCCGGGCGCGACAAACGTATTTGAACCAGCTCCTCATAATTTAGTTTGATTTTCAACGCCCCGGGCGCCACGTCAACGTCCCCGTGTGAACAACCGGCTGTGTTTTTCAAAGCGCTGCACGGTACGTGTATCAAAAGCCGGTTCAGCTCTCGAATCCCCGCATGGTGTCAATCACGTTGTAGCAGAAGTGCATTCACAAGGAGAGCCACTGACGTTTGCTGGCCTGTCAGACATCAACAATCGCGAAGCGAGACAGGAGAACATGTCTTTTCGAGTCCTCTCAACCTTTCTTCGACAGTGCGCGTCTTCAGGCAAAGGGGGAGGGTCCAACCTTTTGAATATTACAGCACTCATGCATGCCCTGCATTGTTTCCCAGTAGTTTACGACGTGGTGGCACACGGGAACAATAACCCCAGAGACAGAATACGTAGCGAACCCATGATTCGCCCCCAGAGATCATGCCTTCGCGAATGACAACGGCCATCTACCAGACCCCGACTGACTGCTGCGACCACGATAATGCGGATCCGATAGGGTGCCATGGTAGCCACGGCTACCCTACGGCACAGAGTAAGTGTCTCGCACGGTAAACACTCCGAGGCTACGGTCAGAAATGACACACGATGAAGCAAGCGCCTCCGGATATCGCTGAAAACAGAGTGCCACGAAACCACCGAGACCCCTACTCGTGGCGTCGATTTCCAAGCCGAAATATTACAGACAATATTTCGAACATGAGCAAGCGTTCCGATTGTCGTTCTAGCATTCGTCGAACTCTCCAACAGGTTTTCCTTCGAGATGCATTCGAATACTGTTTGTATTCGGAGTGTTTCGTTTCATCTGTGGTGTGCGTGCACCAGGACGCCGGCTCAGCACGTACGTACATGAGAGATAAATGTTCTTGGATTGTACGCGATGAAGGTGGGTACAGCGCACTTTTACCATCCTTCGGGTGGATAGTGTACAATCGTCCCTGTTCTTAAGGCACATATGTTAAGTCAACTTCCAGGAAAGGCAGAAAAAATCTCACAAGTAGAGTACCCCACAGATATACAAAACAGGGTGGGGGGTATGGCGTTCAGCATTCGGGACCCCAAAAATGATGGTCTGGGTCGCCTTTCGAACTGCACGGCATAATAGACAAGGTGAGCGATCTGCTGCTGCTGCCACTACTGCGTGTGGTTATGGATAAATTCGGACAACGTAGCTTAAGTGCAATTGTTGTTTGTGTGTTCGTCTGTGGTCCATTTTCGTGAAACTATGCTTAACTTGGTCATTGTATATTGTATTTTGTGCTACCTGATTTTGACCTCTGGGCAGCACCGACGGGCTCCATTATCTGTTATTCTGAACTTTTTGTCTAGCGTTGTGGGTGCTCCGACACCTCAAGTTTCGTTTCAGGTATAGTTTTGCTCCTTCCCTGGTTAGCAGGTAGCCTGTGTGGCGCAGAAGGTGCAAATTGATATCAGAGGGTTGGCTGTCTTTCTGTTTTTTGGGGGGTGGGGGCAACGATATGCATCTCGGCAAGGTATTGAACGCCTGAACGACGCCAAAGCAATAGAGAAACAAAGCCAACAAAAACAACAACGGAAACAACTGTTGTTGCAATTGTGTGCTTCGCCCAGCAGCACTATACCCACTGCACAAAGGAAAATAGCCTACATTTTTGTCGAAGATGGACTAAATTGTCGTTTAGTGAAACCGTAAGAGTTGAAAGCATCATTGTTGGAAAACTGGGACTGGTATATACGTACATAGATTAGATTTCGCGTCCCCTCCAAACAACATGTCTGGACACCAGAGGAGAGCACACGTCCCCCGGTGTCGTGGGTCGCAGCGTTGGTGAGCGCGAGCGAGGACCATCGGAGTACGTGGGCACGCCGAAGGATTGGGGCACTGGCCAACAAAAAACAGGTGCCCACAGAAAGTTGTGTCTATTCCCGCCCACCCATCCCTTTTCTTTGGAAGGTGGGGGAACGGAAAAGGGCGCGAAGCCCTCATTTCCTTTTTGGTGAGGTTTCTCGAGTTTTCTTGTGGGTGTAGTTGAATGGTCGAGTACCACCGGGAGACTTGGTCACTTCAGACCCCCGCGCGCAGGAGCAGTGGCCGGATTTCCCCCCGGCTGAATATAGCTGACTTGCGCGCGGAGAGAGAGAAAGAGATAGTTCTGGAGGGGGAATCAGGCGCGAGGATTGTGTGTGTTTTCAGCGCCGGTTCCTACCCCTACTCTCTCTCAATCGTTGGTGATCAATAAACCGATTAGAATCAAGCACCTCGAAACAAAACAACAAGTTGAGGGGTGGAACACAAAAATGTAAAGGTTCCCAGGCGTACGACGTGGTATGTACCAACGTGCGACTTTCAACCACAACGTTGAGATCGTCAGGTTTATTATGTATTTTTCGTTTCGTGCTACTATCCCTGCTGCAATGACGCGTCCTTTGACGTATGGTACGCCTCCGTTGATCCCGGGGATGGTGAGTTATTATAGGCCTCTTGCGGTTGCCCAACGGTCGAAAACGAATCACAAATGAGGCGACACTTCTGCTGGGATAAACCTGCCTGGTGCCGCTGTAGGCGGAGATTCATGCATGAGCGCTGAGGTCAACCACGACGAAACGGTGACTGTAGCTCATTTCTGAGACATGTCACACCACGCCATGATCACATTCCGTGGCAGGTAAGTTCCAATCCGCGGCAACGCATTCCACCATGGAAACCAGGGTGGTAGTCACTTGAAGGGCTTTCTTGGTCGCCTGTGCCCAAATCTGTTTTCCGGGACGGTTTCAATGGGGGCATCTGACGAGGCCAGAGCCCGCATTCCGTATGTGCCACGTTTCGGGGTAGGCTCCATCCCATTATATAGGACAAGTTCTCCACTTTTGAAACCAAATGAAGCTGGCAATTTCTATTGCCTTGTTCATGCCGGAGTTATTCGGCCGACGTTCGACATTCGACTGCACTTTCTGAAACCAATACACGGACCGACCTACGTTGTCCATCTGAACCCTTTTCAAGTAGTAAACGATAGTCAGTCGGAGATGAAACAACTATCCACCCTGCCCCCCCCAGTCGTGTAACCCGTTGTGTTTCCGGGTCAAAAAGAATGACGCTCTTTCGTTGCAATGACAAATTTCAGAAAGTAGTGCGCAGTACGTGTACTGTAGCTGCCACATTTTTTAGATCAGTGTACTGAACAAGTCACCGCCTGAGGGCTCGTTCGTCATGCTTCATGCAAGGTATGACAGAATGCCTTGACGGCTGCATTTCACAGATTGCACATTCGAGGGACGGTCAGAGCCCGGCGTGTGCTGAAACAAGGTGCACGAGCATCGACGGGCCAGAGATGCAGGCACGTCGCCGACTTCTTCCCCCACAAGGANTTTCGCGGGACGGTCAGAGCCCGGCGTGTGCTGGAACGAGTTGCACGAGCATCGACGAGCCAGAGATGCAGGCACGTCGCCGACTTCTTCCCCCACAAGGAAATACAGCAAGGGGGCTTGAGAAAGCGCCAAGGCGTGCGAGCGGTTGCGAAAACAATGTCGTCCTGATTCTGGTGCACAACCCCCCGTGAATATTACCCTTTCTGGTGCGGACATACGTCCCGGATGCGGAATAAGCAATCACACTCGTTGCTCATGTTCCGGCGCATCTCCCGTGCGAACTCTAGAAGCAAGGTGCGGTAAAACGAACAAACGCCAAGACGGGCTGCAGTTATGGGGAAGAGACGGAGCTGGGGGTAAAGGAGCTTTGAAGTGTGTGAGCATGGCGCTGTCATGTTTCTGCGGGGTCTGCAGCGGTCTGCGAGTGCTATCAGCTAGGTGGAAGGCAAGCATGGCTGAAATTTTGCAAATTTATAGAGGACGATGGGTCCGGGCGGTGGTTGATGCCTGCCGGGCATTTTGCTTGCGGTGATCACCGTACTCGCTGTTACCACCATGCATCGTCGTGCAAAACGGTGGGGAATATTGTCTGTCAGTTTGCGAAAGGCACAAGTGACCAGGTGGGCAACATTCTTCGTTACTGGATCTGAAAACAATTAGGCAATTTTCTGCCATCCAAACATAATCGACATTTGCTCCACACGAACATCAACCACGAACCATGCCTGAAATTGCATGCCCTGCAACCAATAGAGTGCACCGTGGACCAGCACGCAGGCCGTTCAAGGATTTGTTGGAGGTAGGCACCAACGATAAGGCTGGGTGGATGGTTCACATTCGTGTTAGATGAGGCAATGATCTCTGAGAAGGAGGCCAAGAAGTGTGTGAGCATGGGCCTGCTATGTTTTTGCGGGATCTGCAGCGGTCTGCGAGTGTTTCCAGCGAGGTGGAAATGCAAGCTTGGCTGAACTGTAGCGAGTTCATCCAGGACCATGGCNGCACAAGTGACCAGGTGGGCAACATTCTTCGTTACTGGATCTGAAAACAACTAGGCAATTTTCTGCCATCCAAACATAATCGACATCTGCTCCACACTAACATCAACCACGAACCATACCTGAAATTGCATGCCCTGCAACCAATAGAGTGCACCGTGGATCAGCACGCAGGCCGTTCAAGGATTTATTGGAGGTAGGCACCAACGATAAGGCTGGGTGGATGGTTCACATTCGTGTTAGATGAGGCAATGATCTCTGAGAAGGAGGCGAAGAAGTGTGTGAGCATGGGCCTGCTATGTTTTTGCGGGATCTGCAGCGGTCTGCGAGTGTTTCCAGCGAGGTGGAAATGCAAGCTTGGCTGAACTGTAGCGAGTTCATCCAGGACCATGGCTCCGGGCGTTGATGCCTGTGGGACATTTTGCTCGCCGAAATCACAGACTCGCTATTATTACCATATTTCGCCGTGCAAAACGGTCGTGGAATACTGTGTTAAATGTATGCGAAAGACGCAAGCGACCAGGTGGGCAACGTTCTTCGTTGCAGAATCTGAAAACATCGAGGCAATTATCTGCCACCCAAACAAAATCACAACCTACAGGACACAAGCATCAACGACGAGTCATGCCTGGAACTACATGCCCTGAATCCAATAGAGTGCACCGTGGATAAGCACGCAGGCCGAACAAGGATTTGCTGAAGGTAGGCACCAATGACAAGGCAGAGTGGATTTTCACATTCGTGTCAATTGATGCAATGATCTCTTGAGAAGGAGGCGAAGGAGTACTAGTAGTTCGGTGCGGCGACGAATTCTCCGTCTGAAGATAAATCTCAGTAGCGGTAGCAAACCCGTGGCGAAGGGCACGAGCCACATGCGGCGGGCGCTACGTCTACGAAGGGTGGATACCTGAGACTACAGTCATTGAAATCTGCGCATTGTTGGGAATCACGTCGGTCATTGACACGCGAACTCCGGAAATCGTCCTCTCCGAGTAAGGAAGGGAATATCAGCCGGTTCACTTCCAAAACATATTTCCCAACGGGCGTACTAGCACGACCAGCACAATCCCTTCGAAGCAAAATCAAGCTATGCAACCGCTTTTGTCTTGAAGGGAGAACGCCAGGAGGGATTATGCTGACACAAACTTGAGTCGTCCATGTATCTGAGCAACAGCGCTGGCACTGGCAGCACCTTCATCGCTGTGACTCTGCGGGTAAGTCCAAAGCCAACACAAGAGTTAGGCGCGGGGGGTTACATGGGGTAAGTCCGAACGCTTCTTACTCCTGCTGCAGCGTCGGGGTGCGGAAAACACAACATGCACCAGGAAACGTGAAAAAAACTCAGGCTCCTCAGAGAAGGGCGAACATTGGCCCAACCTCGCCTTGATCCTCTCGTTGATGCTTTCCACTTTGTTCCGCGTGGCATCACAGATCATCACCGTGATCCACATGAATTCTCAACGAGGTAAAGATGGTCAACGGTCGTGCGATTGGATACCCGCGAGGCATTCTGTACTTCCGCGATTCATGACCTTGAGGACACCGCTCTGGTGGGCAGAGAGGTACAATCCCATGTGAACGAGAGGTCAACCGTCACACGTATGAGGAAAAAACAGCACATCGGAGCAACACAAGATTTGGCAAGTCGACAACGGGGGGCACTCAATTAAAGAGAAAATGTCTAGATAAGCTACACTGCGCCGGAATAGATGCATGTCGGGCAAATCCAAGCCAAAACTTCATCGAACACCACGTTCGGAGCGACCTGCTGCGTTTCAACTTGGTGGTCGTCCACAAATCATAACAAACCATGGAGCGCTTGAATCGGCGTGCATGATTCGGGCCAGAAACAGCTAGGATTGTATCAAATTCTCGAACGAAGCTCACGCGAATGACTGAGAAACATCATAATTTTGGCAAGGATACACTGTCGCTACCCTTCGCCCAACTACCCCTTGTTGGAGAAGAGAAAAGCTGCCGCGCTCGTGCATTTCAGTTCGATATTCTGGACTGCTGCAATACCAAGGGCGGCCTCCCTCAATGGCATGTGTCCTGAACAACGACGCCATTATTTCAATACAGGTGNAGAAACATCATAATTTTGGCAAGGATACACTGTCGCTACCCTTCGCCCAACTACCCCTTGTTGGAGAAGAGAAAAGCTGCCGCGCTCGTGCATTTCAGTTCGATATTCTGGACTGCTGCAATACCAAGGGCGGCCTCCCTCAATGGCATGTGTCCTGAACAACGACGCCATTATTTCAATACAGGTGGCCCTCGTTTGGTCAGCATCGTGCCATGCTTGCAGCCTGCATTTGTGCTTGCTCTGGGCCCTCAAAACACAGCGTTTCACCAAACGAACTTTATAGGATGAGCACTTCCGGTGCCGTTCACACACCCTTGTTCCCACCGAAGAAAAAAAGCTCGACCGCCTGTGGTTGCAACGGCCGACCTCTCTGCAACCCTTCAACGTCTAACACAATTGGCCTGGTCGGCCGACAAACCCAATATCGAACACACCTCGGCCTCGAAGATGTGCGAGCATGCAGGTTCCGAGACTACGGGAGTTTGTTCCTGACTCAATCGCCGAGTCTGAGCTATGGCCCCACTGTTGTTCTCAATGTTTGCCATACTTTACCCTCTCGTACGTCTCGATTGGGCTCATGTCACGTACTTCTTGCGAGTGGTTGGCACAAATCACCGAACACTATTTGTCTAACGGCAGAACATTCTTCTCTGTCACTGCATTGGGGGTATTATCCCTGGAATACCGAAGNAAAAAGCTCGACCGCCTGTGGTTGCAACGGCCGACCTCTCTGCAACCCTTCAACGTCTAACACAATTGGCCTGGTCGGCCGACAAACCCAATATCGAACACACCTCGGCCTCGAAGATGTGCGAGCATGCAGGTTCCGAGACTACGGGAGTTTGTTCCTGACTCAATCGCCGAGTCTGAGCTATGGCCCCACTGTTGTTCTCAATGTTTGCCATACTTTACCCTCTCGTACGTCTCGATTGGGCTCATGTCACGTACTTCTTGCGAGTGGTTGGCACAAATCACCGAACACTATTTGTCTAACGGCAGAACATTCTTCTCTGTCACTGCATTGGGGGTATTATCCCTGGAATACCGAAGTTCGACTCTTTGTGCAGAGCGGCGAGAGGTAATCGACAGAAAACTCTGCTGTTCGTCAAGTGTGAAGACTAGATTACGGCAGCAATAGCATAGCAGCAGAGGTGACACTAGAGGGATCCAATCACTGCGAATCAGCAGCCGAGGCTGAACCCCAACTAAAAGTGGAGCATCCTCGCAGTCCTGCGAATCTGGGGAAAGCTCATACCTCGTCGAATCACTCCTTCTCAGGACGAAGAACAAAACATCCAGAAGTGAATGTGAGCGGTACAATCGCGGATTCGACGTCCGGTTTGGACAAAATCATTGGCGTGAATACTCGCTGTTCCATTTCGGGAAAACAAATTACTCGTTCTCCATCAATAACAACAGGTGACTTTCTCGGAGAAAGCTGNGTGACTTTCTCGGGGTCAGCTCGACACCAGGTTGTGAGCAGGTGACACAGGTGTTGATCGGAAGCGAGGACCATGCAAAGAAGACTTGAGTTTCAAAGAGGGAAACGTACTTCAGATGCAGCATTTAATACGGAAGGTAAGCGATGAGTTGTGCCGTGCCGCGAGGCTCGTCCAAATGGTACGCTGAAGCTCGGGTAAGCTGATACTCAAGGGGGTTAGGCTCACACAGGCAGGTATATTGTAGCCTCAACACAAGGGTGTAACCATGAACGTATTTCGTCCATGTTGTGAAGTGGCCACCTTGACCTCCAGGGCACCCGCCGCACTTCATGATCATGAGCTACGGTCATCCCTCCAAATACGTTCAACAGCCACAAACACTTAAGCCGACGACAAAATCAGCCCGTTTCGATTATCGAACGTCATGCCCGTGATGACACAGGACCTCGATGCGTCGCACTGGTGGCCAGCGAGGCAGGTAGGGCACCAACTACAACCTGGGCGGGGCAGGTTGGGAGGTCGAGTTCACCCTTGTACCCATATTTTCTTTCGGCTTGCTGTCCCCTGTTGGTGGGGATAACGCCACTCTCCGAGATGTGGGAAAACGTGTACACTACGGGCTGCAGCCTCCCTACAACCTGCCCCCCCATGTTGTGATCGGTGCCCCAACCGNGCGAGGCAGGTAGGGCACCAACTACAACCTGGGCGGGGCAGGTTGGGAGGTCGAGTTCACCCTTGTACCCATATTTTCTTTCGGCTTGCTGTCCCCTGTTGGTGGGGATAACGCCACTCTCCGAGATGTGGGAAAACGTGTACACTACGGGCTGCAGCCTCCCTACAACCTGCCCCCCCATGTTGTGATCGGTGCCCCAACCGACCCATAACATGCCTCTGGCCACCGGTGCGTCCTTGGCATCCATCCCTACGCATGGCAATAGGAAAATATCATGGCAATAGTGCAACAATCAAGAAGCTAGCTTACGCGTGCTCCCTTTCGGGAGCGACGTCCTAAGCCAACTCGAGTATTTGATGCGTAGACACCTTTGGGTACTCAGCCTATCACCGCCTAAAATCTTATCGTTCCACACGAGGACCTTTTCAGCACAGCCAGCGACACATCACTTGTCACCGGCCATCACGCAGACTAAAATATATGACACTTTTAGCGTTGAACGCTTTCCCCTTGCTGACGTCGGGCGACTTCCCAAACACGAAATAATCCGTTTTCAGTAACCATAATTCGAGGAATACAGCCGGACCCGCGCGTTTGAATCGTTGAAGAACACACTTGCAGCACAAGGGATTCCCACGTCTGATCTCCCAGTGTAGCAAAAGCGTGGCCCGAGACAAGTTGCAAATTCTCTGCGTTGGCAAACGCAGTCTTACACAATAGCATAGCATCAATTTGCCTTTCGTTTGCATCAAGTTTCACGCTTGCGGAATGGGAGGCAGAACACACCGGGCCAACAGTTTCGACTGTCGTTACGTTTACAGACATCACTCGAAGAAAAGGACAAAACTGTGAGTAAAGCACAATCCTGTTCAGGTTTGGTAGAGAAGAACATCCTATAACCTAGATCTAGAGGTCGGCAAACACCCTCCTCATCACTTGTCGGCCATCCCTCCCAATGCATTTAACAGGCACAAACACTTTAGCCGACGACAAAATCAGCCCGCTTCGATTATCGAACGTCATGCCCGTGATGACACAGGACCTCTTTCGGTCGGCCTTGGCACCCATCCCTACCATGGGCAATAGGAACATGTCACGGCAATGGTGCAAAAATCACGAACCTCGCTTACGCGTGCGCCCTCTCGGGAGCGACGTCCTAAGCCAACTCGAGCATTTGATTCGTAGACTCTTTCGGGTACTCGTCCTATCACCACCAAACATCTTCTGGTCCTACGCAACGACCTTTCGCCACAGCCAGCACCACGTCAGTTGTCACCGGCCACCACGCAGACTAACATATATGGCACTTTTCGTATTGATGATTTGTGCAACCCCAGCGTTTGAATTCAGCCTGGTCGTGCAGCACGTACCTACAAATTGCTACATACCGTAGATGCAACTTCACGGCCAGCGATCCCCACCCAGAGTCGGCTAGTCACGCCATGTGAAAACAGAAGTTGTGCACAGTTCGACACATGCAACAGGGTTTATCTTCTCCGACGGCGAACTGGCCGTGGGGGGGAAGTCAACCTGGTGGTTTCTGATCGTTCTTATGCAATCAAGCCACGGAGAATGAAATCTGACAGTCGATGATCGGTTCGCAATGACTGCAAGCCGGAATGCACCTCCAGGAAGCAAGTTTCCAGTCGAGGGACCTTTATTGTGCCGGTTGAATAGTGCCAGGTGCCCGGTTTAGTGCCGGTAAAATCTCCGGACACAGGCGGAGCCCTCAATAGTGCCATACCGGCGCTATTGTGAGCATGCCGGGTATAGTGCCGGTTGGGCGCCACTGTCACCCTCGATAGTGCCGGTTCATCCCCCCGCCCGCACACACACGACACACACACAGCCATCCAGGCAGAGGACAGACTCTAGACAGGGGAGTAGGGTACAAGTTCTGCTGCAGACCAGAACAGCTCTAGGCAGGGGCGTACCATGCCATGTGCGGAAGGTGAACTGTGCGCTCAACAGGATAAGACGCTGCACGCCCCACACGGCCCGCATCTGTAGCAGTGGTTGTTTTCTTGCGGTGATCTGCCTTTTCTTTTTATGTTTTTTGTTGCAACATCGAATGGGGTGCTCCAGGCAGACACGAGAGGATTTGTCGCGACGCAGCAAGGGCGGGGGTTACAGCTGTAGTTGTTTTCTTTGGTGCGCTTACAAATTGATTTTCAAGCAGTTTGTGCCGGTCACAACCTACTCGGGTGCATGATGTGTATTTCCCTTTCGCCGTCGACTTGTCTTGGTGAGGCACTGCTGTAGCACGAAATGCAACGTTCTTATTTTACAAAACTCTTGTGGGCTCCACAGGGTGAAACCGCACGTGTCGCGGGAAAGAAAGTCTGCCCAGGCCTACACTAGAACTTCACAAAACAGCAGCGTCGATGCATTTCGTGCAACAGTACTGACTTGGCCCCGCAACCGTGAGCGCTACACCATAAATCGCACACGTTATCATTAGTGTTAGAGCGGCACTAATGAGGGATTGGCTAGCCCTCAATAGTGGCATTATTCCCAATAGTGAAGGGTGCGCGGTTTAGTGCCGGTAAAATCTCTCGACACAGACCGGCACTATAAAGGTCCCTCGACTGTACATCAGTGCACGTAACCTTCATGGAGCGTGTGGCTCTTCAGCTGTTCGGGAACGGGGGACGAATGAAAGAGGAATAGAATCACAGCATTTTCCTCGCTTTCTTCTCTGATGTTTTTCTTAGCGAACAGGTCCGACAGCTGCTTGAAATCGAAATAACGGTCCCTTAGACACATGTACCCGGGGACGACAAGCACAGCAAAACGGCAAGCTGTTGTGACAGCGCATTTCCGTCCGACACTTAGGTAGGTGAGTGAAATCCATGCATTGTTGGCGACAAGAATGAGTCAGACACTGCCAGCAAATGGTTCAGTGGGACGCAATTTCTCGTGGCGAGGTCTCTTGAATCTCTCCCGAACATCCAAATTAAACATCAACAACATATTCGGGCGGGGAAATGTTCACCCAACGTCCGCCTTTTGAGTGCCGATATATATATATACCTATTTCTGGCCATGGAAACGCCACGGGAAATCGACACATTCAATGCTTGACGGGCGTAAGCGACATGCTCGGTTCTCTTGTCGTTGCAGGTTCTTCCTCACGCCTGCCGGGCTGAGTGACCGTTCGTGTTTTGCATCCAGAGGAGATACAACTGTGCTGGCGAGTTTGTGGCAAAGGGTACTGAATCACAAATGCAGATAGACGAGCACGAGTGTGCGATGAATCGTCGCTTGCTTTGCCCGAACGCCCGCTCGACAATACCGCCCGCGGAAGGAGGGAGGGCATGAACAGGCTTGGGGCATACAAACGACGGAGGTAGACTAGTACCTGTGCAAATACACGGACGGACTTACGGTGTCGACCTAAGACCTTTGCAAGTAGCAAACGATACAAGTCAGTCGCAGATGAAGCAAGTCTTCACCGCCGTACCAGTTGTGTAACCGTAACCCGTTGTGTTTCGGGGTCAAGGAAAGTCATGCAACTCGTTGCTGTCAACAACTTCGGATAGTGCAATACGCAGTGCTTGTGGTTCCCACATTTTCCAGATCCGTGTGTTGGAGCAGTGCTCGCCCGAGGGCGCGCAAGTGATGGTTAATGCAAGGTATGACAGAATGCCTTGCCGGTTGCGTGTTAGAGATTGCATATCCGAGGGACGGTCAGAGCCCGGTCTGTCGCTCCAACGACGTGCACAAACATAGACGCCCAAGCCAGAGATGCAGGCATGTCGCCGATTTCTTACGAAAATACAGCGGTTTCGAAATCATTTTCTTCTTGATTCTATTGCACAAACTCAATGAAACTTAAACGTGCGGTGCGGACTGGCGTCCCGCATGCGGGAAAAACAATCACATTCCTTGCTCATGTTTCGGCGCATCACCCGTGCGACCTCGAGAAGCAACGTGCGGTAGCGACCAAACATCAAGAACGCGTTTGAAAGGGCTGTAGTAATAGGGGAGAGACTGAGCTGAGGGTAAAGGAGCTCTGCAGTGTATCAGCTTGGGAATGGAATGCTTCTGCGGGGTCTGCAGCGGTCTGCGAGTGTCACCAGCTAGGCGGAAATGCAAGCTTGGTTGCAGTCTCGCGAGTACATCGAGGACGACGGCACCGGGCGTTGATGCCTGCCGGAAACTCTGCTTGCGGTGATTACTTGTACTGCACTCGCTATAGTAGGATTTGAAATATTCCGTTGTGCCGAATTATGGACCCCTCTCGCACTTGCTAATGTTTATCGGCGCTATTCTCGTCATGCCCGGAGGAAGTACAACGTGCCCTTAGGGAGGGTGGGCACACGTGATACTTCTGTATTCTGATTCTCGACGTGGTCCCTTCTGAGCTGCGCTCAGCCCCATGGCACCGTTCTTTGAATGCCTTCTGTGGTAACTTGCAAGGAACCATGCAGATATAGATCCGGGTGCGAAAAACGTAATTGAACCAGCTCCTCGTATTTCAGTTTGATTTTCAATGCCCTGGGCGCCACCTCAACGTCCCGGTGTGAACAAATAACCTGGTGCCTTCCTCAAAGCGCTGCACGGTTCGTGAAACAAAAGCCTCTTGGAATTACGCCTCCCCGCATGGTGTCCATCACGTGGAAGCAGAAGCGCATTCACAAGAAGAGCCACTGACGTTTGCAGACCTCTCAAGACGTAAACAACCGTGAAGTGACCAGAGGGGTACAATTAGCGGTTGCGCATCCATTTCGGCGACGTAGCCTCGTGAGCTTTCTGCGTGTCTAAGCTAAACAATCAACGCGAGACAGGAGAACCATGTCTTTTCGAGTTCTCTCAACCGTTCGTCGACAGTCCGTGTCTACAGGCAAGGGGGGAGGGTCCAACCTTTTGAATACTACAGCACTCATGCAAGCCCTGCATTGATTTCCAGTAGTTTACGACGTGGTGGCACACGGGAAAAATAACCCCAGAGACAGAACACGTGACACCGAACCCGTACATCGCCCCAAAAGATCATGCCTTCGCGAATGACAACGGCCATCTACCTGACCACGAGATATCACAATCCAGGTGATTCCAACAACGCCTGATTGCTTCGACCCACCACAGGGTGGAGCTGAGAGAGTGCCATGGTAGCCACGGCTGCCCTAAGGCACAGAGTNAATAACCCCAGAGACAGAACACGTGACACCGAACCCGTACATCGCCCCAAAAGATCATGCCTTCGCGAATGACAACGGCCATCTACCTGACCACGAGATATCACAATCCAGGTGATTCCAACAACGCCTGATTGCTTCGACCCACCACAGGGTGGAGCTGAGAGAGTGCCATGGTAGCCACGGCTGCCCTAAGGCA